TACTTATTTGACTCACTGAGTAGTCAGTTCTCTCACTTATTGTTGTGTCAGCTGTATCTTTTACTTTAAACCATCCAATTAAATAATAGTTTATGCTGGCTTTCTGTTTTAGCTCATGCATTTAAAACCTGGAACTCAGATAAAAAGATAGGCTCCGAATAAATTCCGTATATTATTTATGAGTGGGGCGACACATTAGCATGGAGTTCACAATAGATCATATCGCTTTTATTCCACCTTACAAGCTTAGCAGCACAAACAGAATAATCAACATATTATTTGGCTGTCATCTGCTGAACAGAAAGCAGAGATCACAAGGAGGTTTTCCCTAGCTGCAGTGATGGCCTTTTTGTTCCAAGCCCCCATCTGGGAGGGCCATGGTGTGTTATCATATGGAACGCGGGGTTTGCTGTAATCTGCTTAGCTGCACTGCAGTTTGAATCTTTATTCCATGTTTGTGTAATTTATAATTTTAATGAGACCACGGCTCTTGTGGGCTTTGAAATATATTAAAAGCTCTTTTGTGCATATGCTTTTGTTCTTGCTTAATAGGCTCAGTGTATTTAAAACTGATGAATTTTTATTCATGGATTTGGATGTCTGGGGATTAACTTAGACTGAATATCATTGCACTCATCTATTGATGTTTGGAACTTTTTTTATACTTGTATCTTGTAAGTGGAGAAGACCCTACAGAACTTGTGTTTTAAACCAGCTCAGAAATAACTAATAAAATTTTACTAAGCAATGAGAAAAAGTCCTGATTACAGTTTATTTTTACTGCATAAACTCACGTGAAATACAATTCTACTCTGAAAAAAAGTGCTTGAATCCATGTACATGTGTCTATGTAGAACTTTGTAACTAAAAAGCACTCTGGGAAAGCTGTCAAAATTTTTGTAGAATAATAGTAGTGACAGGCACTTGATTTTCATTTTTCTTCTGTTCAGGTAACTTGAAAATGTAAATACTGAGCACACTTTTGTCTGACTGTGTTGCCTTCCTCCTGTTTTTTAACACGTTTATTAATGCAGAGTGTGCATAAGGTATTTCATTAGAAGGTGATGCTCATAGCTGGGAAGTATTGATGAGCATACAGAAGGATTCTTCATTACTGTTACATTTTCTGATAGTGCTAAAACTACTCTTGTTTTCTGCTTTGTATTTTTCAAATGTTTAATGGATTGCTTATAGTTTAATTATCTGTCAGGTTTGATTTACTGTTTAAGATCCCATACTGTGTGACTTCTGTGTTCATAAACCACTGTGGAGTCCTCTTCAGTGATGACATTCTGAGATCAGCACTGGGGATAAGGTTGAGACAGTTGTGTTTCTTTCTGAGCAGTCCTGCTGGTGGTGTCCTGAAAGAGGTTGCTGGTTTGATGTGGAGGGGTTTTGGTTTTTTGGTTGTGGTGTTTCTGTTGGGTTTGGTGTTTTATTCACTGTTCCAAGTAGTATTCCCAAAAATACCTTCATGTTTCTTCAAGGTGTGTCAGCACTGGAAGGACGTGTGAGCCAAGGGCAACTTCAGGGTCTATAGGGCTGTAGTTTTTAAGTGCCTAATGTGAAAACTGGGCTTGTAATTCCTTGTCTTATTACACTGAATGAATTTTCAAAGTCTACATTTCTGTGTCTCAAGAAAGTGAAAATATTGAAATTTCAGATGAACATGTGTGGCTCAGAATAGAGTTATTTGACCCTTGTGACATAGGCATGGGATATTTTCTCAGTTACCAGGAGGGTGACTGTGATGTCTGTCAAACCTTTGGTGTTTGTCCTAACTTTGACATCGTTGCAGAAAACTGTAAAGTGAATGTTTCAGCATCCCTGCCCATGTATGACCACGCCTTGGCTCAGCTCTCTGGATTTGTTGTTCAGCAAAGATGGGGGTGTGGAGCTCCAGAGGAAGAGAGGAGCCCTGGAATGCATCTGGCCATTAATACAGTGTTTTGTACAGGGTTGTGGGATTGTTAGGAGTTGCTTCCCAAGGGTAAATAGAACCAGTGAGAACTACTTGAGATCTGCTTTGAAAAATTGCTCATTCTTACGTAGGCAGTGTCTAGTTATTTAACACCAGGGGATTGTGTTATGGGAATTTATATTTACAGGATTGAACTCCTTATCAGCTTGAGATCAGTAGATGGAGGAGCACTTGTTGGAGACAAACTGTCAGTGCCTAGTAGAGATAATGTGTAAAAATGATCTCTTCCAGAATATCAGCAAGCTTTTGCAGATTTGCCAGACTTAATCCAGTGTTTCTTCTAGAGTAAAGCAACAGCTGGAAATACAAAGCAAGTTCTGTCTGATCTCCAGCATGGAAAGACCTTCTGAAAATTATTCCCTTTTTTGCCTTAGATGTTTGGAATCCTCAGATTGTAATTACAATATTGTATTTATTATGTGTCTGATACAGGAAGAATCCCGATAAACAAGATATAGATAGACCCTTCTCTATTCTAGCACATAGAGCATTAATTTCACGCAGAAGTTTTAAAATAATAGTTTAATATAAACAACAGCTCAAACATAAATATTTGAAAGGCCTAGTCAGGGTGCAGTTTGGGTTTTTGCATTTTTTTAAAATCTCAGAGTAACTCAGTGGGAAAGAGATGGTGCAAGTTACGGGATTGCCTTGCGTAGAGAAAGGTGTCTGGTGAGAAGTGGGGAATGTTAGGAGGAGAGTTTGTTACCTAAGGAAAAACTGATCAACTGTCACTAAATATTCAGTGAAATTCCAGAATTGGGAAGTGTTACATAAAGCAAATGTGACTGGAAATGTTTTATGAAAGTGAAAAATCCGTTTAGTGTCAAGTCCAGTAATTTGTTTAATTCCACTTCCAGTGCCTGCAACTTCAATTTTCCTGTGTTTAAAAATTTGGCACCATATGTTAAACTGCCTTACACAATGCCATTGGTTTTCTGGAAATGATAAATCTGCTCATTGATTTCCTAATTTTATTATGTACACAGTTAATTGTAATCCAAGATTACAGCAAACAAGATGGTAATTTCTGGACAACCTATGTGCATTTCCCTCGGAGTGTGAGTGTTACAGAAGCAAAGAGTACAAAGAGAATACCATTTGTGCTATCCTCACAGGAGCTGTCAATAAAAGATGTAATAGGGGATTTAGGAATCTGGAAATGGCCAACTAATTTATGTGAATCTATTTTATTTCAGCTAGAAAGCCCAAGCTCTGTTTCGTCTGCACCGCATATTGCAGAGCACAGGCTGTCTATAGAAAAGCAGGCGGCTGCATATGGATAGTCCCTTGATATCATTCACTTGCTGTGTAATCTTATTATGCAAAGTTCTAATCTTCACCTAGAATGAATGCCTCTGGGTCAGAATATAGTCATATCAGGGTTTTTGAGGTCATGTTTTGTGATCCTTAGCTTATTCTTCTAAGTAGAGCTGGGATTTAAAGAGTATTCCCCAGACACTAGCAGAGATAGACGGCAAAACCTGCTGCCTTTTTGGAAGACAAGACCAACATGAGGTCCCTGGTAGGATTAAACTTGATTTGTAGCTGTAGGATTTTTTAACAGATGTATTATTGGACAGGGAATAGGGGGCCACCAGCACAGCGAAATTGGATCACGATTGGCATTCTCAGGGAGTCCGCTGGCTGCTAAAACAGCAGCTGCATGTGGATTTGACTTCTTTCAGGTGAAGCGACTTCCAGTCATTTGGAAAGGATGGGATGAAAAGGAACCTTGGTGATAATTTTGATGTCTGCAAGATTTAGTACCAATGTAATGGGATTATCGGTAACACCTTCACTGCAGAAAAAGCCACCTGGCGCTATAACTGGCAGCGACTGAGAACTAATCCTTTCCCATCTCTTGGATGTCATTCATGAGGCTCAAAGTGATTTCTGCCCTGCTTGCTGTGATTAATTTTTATAAACAAACAAACAAAAAAATCAAATGATGAAAGCACAGGCTATGGAAGGAAGAGGGAACAGAAGATAATAGTAATTACATTTTGCATTTTATTTGCTGCGGGGGATAAACTATACTGTTCTTCCAAAATAACCAAATTGTGTCCTCTGTGATAAATATGGATGTAACCTTTTTTAATCAGTGTCTATGTTCAGCATAAAACCAATGTCTATTCCAGTATAAATTTTTCAGCTACCTGCTATACTCTAGTAGGTAGTACCTGGAAGTAATTACAGTAGGTTTTAGGCCACTAGTGCTGTGATAAGGATGTTTATCCAACTGATCCATTAAGTTTTCAAGGGGCCTGTGACTTAAATAATTTGTTTTATTGTGCTTAATGGTCTTATGCTCGATCTGGTGGAGTTGCCTGCTGATGGCACTTTGTGTTAAAACTATGATGTGGAAAAACGTTCAGCTGTTTACCTTCTTGTGATCAACAGTATGGTATTGTTTTAAAAATGTACTGATACAAAGTTTGCAGAGGAAACAATTATATTTTACTGATACTTAAGATAATTTTTTTTATGATTTTTTTTTTTAAATAAACTAGTTTGTTCTGGTGTTTTGTTTTTTTTTTTTTTACTGGGCTTACTCTTGCTGCAACATTCACGACAGGGAAGCTTTCAGGATTGTAGTTATTCCATGGAATGGTGTCTAAAGATGAACCTTAACATTAAAAACACCCTCCCATCCTCTCAAGTTACCTTGTTAGGGTCAGACTGTGTATAATCTATGTATATATGTGCCTCAATTTGAAATTAACTTTCTTGAGTGGTAATCAAAAACCTTACATAAAAGCTAAGAATTTTTTCATTAGTATGAAATCTGAGAAGCCTGAACATTGAAAAAAAAAAATCCTTTGTACCACATCTACAAACTGAGGCTGGTGAACTCCATGTCTCAGGAGTTAAGAATTTATTTTAAGAGGAATGGGAACAAAATTTGAGAGCTCTTCACTCATGTTCTATCCTTGCTGTTGGTTTTTTACCGTGACAGCTCTTGCAGTAGGAAAAGCTCACTCTGAACCCTGTGTTTCCTTGAACAGCTTATAAATCTATGGCTCCTCATGCAGAGCTGCTCAGAGACATCCCAGAGAAACACATGTGTTCAAGGTAACTATCCAAAGTTTATGTCATCCAAAATCTAGAAGGAATCAGTCTGAAACTCGTTTTTTGAGATGTGTAACAGTTGTTTGTAGTTTCACAAGGAAAATATTGTAGTTACAACCTGACAGCTGTTGGCACGAGTGGTTTACATGTTCTCTGGATGAGTCACAATTTGTCACAATTTGATCTGCACACTCTGGGCATTGTAGTGCTTGGTTTATACAATTCATCTTTACCTGTGATATCCACAGGTGCCTGAACTCTGTATACTCATATTAAGACAGTATGTGTCTTAATATATGAGTATAAGGTTTCTGAGTAGCATGGAGCGAAACTATAGGGTGGTTGTGCAGTATTTTTCTGTCTGAGCTGAGCAGCAGTGTGAGGCTGCCTTTCTAGCAGGTGCTGTTAAGGAGTATTGATGATGGACTTCTCTCACAGCATAGTTGTGGTCATAAATTCACACTAGTTGTGCAACTCAAGTTCATCTGCTGTCACTCAACCTTCCTTTTCTCACCTGTTTCTAGTAAGAGTTGTGCAGATAAAGCTGTGCACTTTTAAATTCCTGTCTTTAGTTAGTGAAACATCATGAAATGTAGATGGGGATGTCTTTGCTTCATTATTAAATGGAGCATATTGTACAAACACAGCATTTTTCTCTTTTTTTTTGCTTTTTAACATACTCTCTTGGCTTAGCAAACTGTGTTGACTCAGTAAATCAGGGAAATCTTGCAGTGGTTTTAGTTCATGGTCAGGCAATACCGAGTTGGGGGGGGCATGTTTCTTGCAGAATTTAAAACTTGCTTCAATTGCTTCAGTATATCTGTTTTCTACTTCCTTAAGATACATATATGTAACTATCCTAACAGTTTGGGGTAAGGAACATTTTAATTAAATTAGCATTGCAGGAATAGGATCTCCTAATCAGAGTTGGACTCGAATGTTTGGGGGAGGGAGTCAGAAGATATTTGCAGTCTAATGTGCTGCAGAACTTATGCCATGGTACCATAGCTAAGAACAAAAAGACCTAATGCCTTATTTTTATATGCAACTATTTTGGTAATGTAGTCAAAGGAAAGCTCTGCTTCACCTCCAGAGCTCCAGAACTATCAGATATCCTGACTTTTCCTGTGATAGCCTTACTTAGGCAAGCCATTCAGGACTCCCTTTTTCTTATTTTGTGTAGTTCTTCAAGCCTTTTTTCATTTGATTGATTGCCAGGTTGCTTTTAAAGTTTTTGTTGACTGTTTGATTACTCCAGTTTTCTGTGAAAGTAATTTCAGTTGTTTGAAACGCCTCAGATGGTTTGGTGCTGCATTAAGGAAAACAGCAATCCAAGTTTCCCTGTCTTCACGTGATTAAAACAACTCCATCAGGTGTTATTAAATCAGATAACTGCATCTGAGTGACAGTGTACTCAGCTGAATGTGACAAGCTGGTGAGAGGGGTCTGCGTGGTAAAGGAAAAACTTCACGATGGCATTTGAGTTTCAGCTGTATTCATCTCTTCAGATATACCTGATTATCTGCTAGTTTTATCACACTGGTTTTTTTTAATACTCATGTTAGAGGTTTGTAAATGCCACATTGCTTGTTCCCAGATGAATGATGTTCTTCTCTTCCCCTGCAGGCTGGAGCCAGCTGACCGACGGGACACTGTAGGATGCTCCGCGATGTCCTAGGGAAAACCTTCCGCTTTCTGGGCTACACTGTGCAGTATGGCTGCATAGCACACTGTGCCTTTGAGTACCTTGGAGGAATTGTTGTGGTAACTTTTCGTTTTCCTGACATTTTAAAGAAGATAAAACTGTAATATTGAAATTGTCCTACGTGATCATGTCAGTATTTCAAATTTATCGATTTTCTCTGAAGCGTTTTCAGAGCGTGATTACTAAATGCCTATTTTTGGGGGGGCAGGTCCAACCTTTATGAAAGTTATTTCTACTTTGGGCATTCATATTTTTTGATGCCTTATTGCTTGAGACATCACTGAAGGAAACAGGAAGCTATCATTAAGCATTTTGCAGAGAGTACATCCTGTGAGAAAGAGTGCAGTCACCAGTAGGAAATGCTCTCGTTTCCAACTCTGGCCAAATTTCTGGGTGTTTTATGCTCCTTCCCCCTCTTTTCCAGCAGATACTGCTGCTGGTCATGGGGGAGTGTGGCTGTGAGCTGCTCTTGCAGCTTCTGTGATGATTCTGTTTTACAGAGGCTGAAGAAAGGGGTAACGTGGCAGAGCTTTGAGTGCTGCTCCTCATAATTTCTTAGAGATTCAGGTGCTGAAATGAGTCCATAGGGACCCACAGCACCCAGCACAGTTCAGGACCAACCCCAAGCAAATCTGGAGCTGTAACACAGTTAGAGGTGCTCTGTGCTCAGCTGTGCTCAGCTTTTAAATGTATCACGTTCCTTGGAGGATTTTTAGTTGTTCTCTACATTATCTTTTCTAACGTATTAGCAAATAATTGAAATATTAAAGTATTTCAGATAAAAATTATTTGAAATAGTAATTTTTTTTTTCTCATTTATTTTTAATTTTCAGTGTTCTGGACCTTCAATGGAACCAACCATTCAAAATTCTGATGTTGTGTTCTCGGAGAACCTGAGCCGCCACTTTTATTGCATCCGAAAGTACGCTCCTGGATTTTCCACCCCCTTTGCCAGAGCTTGCCAGTAACCACATTCCATCTCTCCTTTATTTTTCCTATATTTTTCTGCTTCTAAATTGTAATTTTGCCTTGTGTTTGATGGAGGGTTAAAGTTATCAGCACATACAGCCCATCAAACAACTTGTCAGAATTAATTTAGGGTAAAATCTACGTCACTTTTACAGCTTTGTCCCAAAAATGGAGAAAATCCTTTTTCCCCCCACCAAAGCGATTCTATTGTGTGACTGTAACTTCTCCTCTAAGCATTTTTGTCTCACTTGAAAAACAAGCTCTAGGTATTACTGTCCTTAGGTTGTAGTCTTAAATGTTTCATAAACGATCTAAGTAACACAAAGAACTCTGTGTAAAATTACACCCTGAGTGAAACTGAAGAAACCAAAATTGTAGACAGGAATTTTAAGCAGAAGGGAACATATCTGTGTGGATATTTTTGGTGTATACCCCTTGATACTCTTGTACTCAGCCAAACAGTTTGTACTTAGAGTTCTTCTGTTTGTTTCTGTTTTTTCATCTCAGAGGAGATATTGTAATTGTGAAAAGCCCAACTGACCCCAAATCAAATATCTGTAAAAGAGTAATTGGCTTGGAAGGGGATAAAGTCTGCACAAGCAACCCTTCAGATTTCCTTAAGAGTCACAGCTATGTAAGTATTAGAGTTTCTTGCTTTGTAAATTAATGATTACTTAAGTAGGCCTGCTAGTCTGTAAAGGATTTGCAATATTTGAGTATCATCATAAATCATAAATTAGGACATTCATAAATTATTATTTCTTCTTGTATATGTACAGTAAAATGCTGCAATTTTAAACTCTTTGTATAGCAAGCTGTCTTTCTCAGTGCCTTTTGTCTCTGTAGGAAGTGTGGGCAGATAATATTTTTGCTCTGCCCTTTGCTTAGGTCTTCTTCCGTGGAAGGATGCTCTGAAATTCTCTGCATAAAGTGCAGTACAGGTGGCAGACTCCAAGGCTTGTTCTTCAGGCAAAACTGTCCATGTATTTTAAATGCTAAGAAGTGAATATTTGCCTCTGCAATAGCTTTGAGATTTTTTCAAAGTTACACTTTCATGTATGTCTCTATATTTCAATATTTCAATGTAACAATACTTTAATTTTCCTGAGTATGGTTGGAAAAGCAGTAGCTTTCCTAACTTCTCCAAAAAGCCAGGTTGACAAGATGAAATGAGAAGGGTAAAATAACCTTAATGCTCACTTGTCCTTCTGCAGATATACTTCATGGAAGCTTGGAAAGATCTGTGACAAAATGTTTTCAGCAACTCCTTTTTAGGCTGTCATTAGAAAAATCCTCATGAATCATGATCACAGAAAAATGGGAACCCTTTAAAAAGGGTTTTTCTTGTCCCCAAAGCGTGCTTGACCATTACCTCTGTTCAGCACCTTGTGGAGCCAGCAGATGTTCACAGGTGTTCTGAATCTTAAAAGAAAGATATTATGTTGCCCTTTCATCCACTTCATCCTCATGATCAGAAGGGGAGGACAGAACATTTAGTTTCTCCATAGATCAAGTTGTGTTAACTGTTTAGCCAAGGAAAAAAATCTACAAAAAACCCCAAAGACACCAACCCAGCTTTCTTACCAAGCTTTAGAAATTCTCTGGCTCTGATGGAACTAGTCATTGCAGTGAAATAGGAATTTCCCAGAGCAGACCAACCTGAAATGGAAACCTGGATTCTGTGTACACTGAGAGAAGACACAAACTGAGTTTCTCTGAGCATCTTGTTCCTCACTTGTCTTAGTCTTGAAAAGGAAGTTCAGGAAAGATTGGTACTTAACAGGATGTCAGCTTTTCTGGAAACCCTGAAGTAACCAAATGAATATCCAACAGAACAATTTCTGCCCTAGGTGCAAGATTCCTTGTCTCCAGTTTTAAGCCATAATGTAGAGAGAAAGAGTGGATGGGGAATGCAGAGTCCATTTCCTGTTTTCATCCAGGCTAATGTATGGAAATACAACAGAGCTTTTGTAATTCTTACATCATAAATTGTATCTAGGGGGAGAAAGGATCTAAATGGAAATGCTTTCGTTGTTACTGCATATCTGTTTTTCTACTGTGTTTAGTGGTTGAAAAGGTAGATCTTTCCATCTGTTCAGGAGATGCTTCCTTTACAGAAGAGCATATTCTCAACATAGATATCTGCACTTTATGTTCATAGCTGAGGCTGAATTATTCACTAATTGTTCTTGTTGGGGAGGGGGAAATGATACGTGTCTGTGTTTAGGCAATTACCTCATCACATTCCTTATTTTAGTGAATCACTGTGCTGTGCACTTTGAATTCAAACACAAAATTCCTCAAAGCAAATAGCAGCAGCAGATGCACAGAGAACTGGCTGTTTGTTTTGTTGATACTTGCCTGAGTTGGGTTTTTGAAAAAAAAAAAAGATTGCCCAAACTGAGGAGAGGCCTCAGCTAGGATTCCAAATGGCCAAGAGTGCTGCCTGGGGGGTCTGTCTGCCAGGGAAAGGTACCACTGCAGGCACTCCTGAAGTGAGGAAAGCCTAGGAAGTGTTGGGAGTTTTGTTGTTCATATTTGGCTACTAACTGCTTTTTTTTCAAATGAGAAATCTCCCAGGTGGGGTGTGAATGCTGTGACTCCAAAGTGTGTAAGGTCAGAGGATTCCTTGTTTTTATTACTGTGAACTGCTCAGCTTTCCTTGACTGCTTGTCTCCCGTTTTGGGGAGTGGTAGTGAATACTTACTGTCATGTTTGCAGACTTATTACAGTAAATATGAAATATCAGGTGCCAGAAATATTACCAACTTAGGCAGATCAAGCCTCTGCCTCATTCTGTGCTGGTGTTTGGTTAGGTTTTGGGTTTGTTGCTGCTGGTTAGGTTTTATGAGTTAGCCAGTTACTGGAGATGGCAGAATAATGGCAGTACGATGTAAATGCAGCTGAGGGTGAAATTACCTCTAAGCAGCTGCTTCCCTTGCCTCCCTGAAAGGAGAATCCTTATAGTCATGTTAGCAGGAATTGTGCTTAGTCTGTGCTGACTGTCAGCATTAGTGTTGGCATGTTTTACAGATTTTTAAGGTAGGGATGTTTGTGCTTAGAAGCACTGTCATGCACGATTCTTATTCTGAAGCCTGAGAGGATGCCAAAATCAGATCTACATCCAATCCTGGTTCATTCATGGATGTACTTCTCAGCATGCCTTGTATGTGATAAATGTGATATAGATACAAGAGCAGAGAACTGCTTACAACTTGCTCTCTGTAAAATTACACAGATGAGATACTTTTTTGCTGCAAACAACCTGTAGATTAAAGAAAAAAAAAACAACCTAACACAACAAACCAACCTTCCAGGCTATAATAAAAATAAAACAAACAAAAAAATCATACAAGAGTTGAATAAGTTGTTCTGAAAAGTGGTATTTCAGTTGAGTAGAAATGCAGTATAGCAGTGGCAATGATGTGAAAGTCTTTACAGTGGTAGAAAAAATACTTTTGCTGCCATACGTAACTGAAGCTGTTATTTTGTCAGAGTGCACTGAGTGTAAAGCTGTACCAAAAAGCTGTCTTGGATGGAGTTGTTGGATTACAAGATGATGGAACTAATCCCACATATAAAACTGATTGGTATAAATTAACCATGTGCTTAAATTACAATTTAAGTACATAAGAAATGTCTTTTCTTTGGACTCTTCATGGTACATGATGCTTCATATGCTAGAGGTTGCAGTTTGGCTGTAGAATAATAATGGGGGAAATCTTTCTGTTTATGTGAAAAGTATAATGAAATTCCTTTCCTGAATTAGCTGCTATAGCATTACAAAGTTAGGAAAATGTACTTGTCCTTTTTGTTGATATCTGGTTTGAAATGTGAGCATTAGGCTGGCAGCTTTGCTGGGCTCTTTTGGTTTTTATAAACATTTATAAATAGAGGCAAGTGTATTTGCTGTAATAAACATTTAAGAATGCCTAATGTATTTTTGCTGTATGAGAAGCAATGAGGTATGAACCCAAAAGTTAAAAAGGTAAACAACTCATTTTTAGGAATGTGGTATTCAGACCTAGTTTCAATTATTACAAAATATCTTCACTGATTTATTAATTTAACCATAAGAACTAAATAATAAGGATTAATAAGGAAATTAATACAGGAAACTCCTGAAATGGTCTCATAAAAAGCCCCAAAACCAACAGCTGAAAGGTTCTTTTTCATATTTAGTCTTTTATTTCCTGTATGGAGAAGTCTTAATACAGATCCGGGTTTATAATTCAGATCGAGTATCCTATTGTTATATTTGAATTTGTTTTAATGCCATTTGCTTTAGCTTTAATTTCTTTAGTGCCATATGTTCTTGTGCTGCAGCTCCTATTTACAAGCTGAAAAAGTGAGGGGGAAGCCATCAGATTAAAACAGCTTGTGTGTCATAAACCACCAATATGCTGAGCCTTTGTGTCACTTAAACAAAAGTAGTCCCTAATAATGTCACTTAATAGAGCCGGAGTCTGTAAATAAGGAACTGCCTTTTGCAAGTCCTGGTGATAAAAAGCTGCCATACAAATCCATATCTCAGCAACCCTGTGCTGGTGATCAATCACAGCTCAGCACTAATGCTGGGAGTGTGGCTGGGGGGGGGAGTGTGTTTACCTTGTGCTAAAATGAGGTTCATTGCGGAGATGGCATCCCTGCATCCTGTGGTGTGCCCAAGATAATGCATCTCCCTGTGTTTGCACATCACACAAGTGGTCTTGCAACAGCACTATTAACTCTTAAACAGTCCTTGTCACATGCAGTGAGAATATTATGTGGGTACTAAGAATAACATAGTGCAAACACCACACTGTCATAATCACTAGACAGTTCTACAGGTTTGGGTACACCGTGTAAGACACTGAAAAGTGGTTTGATGTTTCAGGGCACTCAGTGCCATTGATAGTCTCTTTAAAATAGCCCGAATAGCAATTAAAAATAAACTTATCAAAACTCTAATTCTTTTTTCCTTTGTTCTAAGTATCTTAATAGTTCATTTACACTCATGGTTTAGTACATCAATAAGGTAAGTTTTAATTGTTGCTGACCAGGAGAAAGAGTAAGAAATTTCCTTTCTCCTTCTCCTTAGTTCTAGTGTTCCAGAGGCCTGAGAGAAAGTTATGCCATAATTTTAACCAGTGGCTGTGCTAAATGTCTGGTGGGAGAGGAGAACCGATTTGCAATATTTGATTGGTTTGCAAATCTGTTCAGTTTGCAGATCACTCCATGTCCCAGTACAGAGAGTTCGTGACTCAAGCTGATCTTGAAATTTCTGAGCAGTAATTAAAGATGGAAACTCTGATTTGTCAAAACTAAGTTATCGAAGGGAGAACAAACACAAAGAATTTTATCAGCCTGCTTCCCAACATTTCCAGGGTTTCTTCTGCTCGAGTGGATTGGTCTTTGCGCCTTTGCAGTTTTGGTTTTGATATTTCAAGAACACACAAGTAGCAGGACTTGACACGACAGCTCTGGTCCTGTTCAGCAGAGCTCCTCCAGGTCTCTGTGGGGTCAGGGGAGGAGGGCAGTGTCTGCACCATGGCTTGGGTACAGGGCAGCAGAGAGAGGCTCCTCAGTGAGTGAGCCCCCACCGAGGTCTCTCACATCTTTCTCCAACAGCTCTTTCTCCCCCACTGTCTGAACCACGAGGAGGCAGCTGCACTATCAGCTGGTCTTGAGTGCCAGCCAACTGCAGCTCTGCCACTGCCCCGCTGCTCCTGTGCAGCCAGTTCATCCCTGAAGGAAAACCTTAGAGAAACCTCCTCCGTGATTTTGAGGGAAAATTGTTCCAGGGCGACCAGTTTCTGCATTTCTAGCACGAGATGTTTTTCCTGTGTGGAAATGCGGAATACAGCTTTGTCTGTGCTGGTCACATCAGTTTGAACCTTCAGGATTTCATGGTTCTGTTATTCCTCTGCTCAGAGCTCAGTAATGGCTTTTCAGGAGCTGCTCAGGATGATCAAACCAACTAGTCAAGCAGTGAAGCTTCTGAGCACAAGTTTTGGGCTGACTGTCCCAGCTGTGTAGCAGAGATTCAGGTCCCTGCTCAGGAGCTGGCAGACAGTACCTTTAAGATTCCTTCCCCCTGCTTTTAGGATTTGTGAGCCATTGTTGCCTCCAGGCTGAATTGCAGATCCCTGTGTAAGGAGTGGCTTTGCCCAGGCCATGCCAGCAATGGTGCTGGGTTCTGTGTTTTAACCAGTGACTTCCAGTTGGGGTTTGAACCCACAGGTGGTTTTTTTTTGTTGTTGTTGTTCCCAAACCTATACTTTTGGATGACCCTGTTAACATCATCTGGTTTCTGGAGAAGAAAAGAATCAAATCCTTCTTAATTATTGCTGTGAGAAAGGTCTGTGCAAACTGCTAACTAATCTTTGCTGGATTTGTAATCAATATTTTCTTCCAAAATACTGTTCTGCTGTAAATCTAGAAAGCTAATTAATAGTCTGGAGTGATGAATCACTGCCATGTTCTGAATTTTTTTTTTAGGAGTTCCTAAATGTAGCTAGATTTGGGTTTGAAAGTTTTGACCTATGAACATGAACAAGTTAGTTTGAATTTTAACTGATAATAGTTTTAGAAAAGGAAAGATGACTAATAATTTCAATTTAGAGTTGCAGCTAGGGATTTTAAAAATCAGATGTATAGCTTTTCAGACCGATTCAGATCTGTGTGTTTAACAGTATGATCTAGATCATGTGAGAATATTTATGGAAGTAAAGTAATCAAAGCATGTGAGTGTTTGAATTATTATTATTTGGAAACTTTTGCAACAGGTAAAAAGTGGTACTGAGAGAAAGCAGATATTTTTCTCATTTGACTGGCATAGATATTTCTGATGTGAAAATTCTGTGGCCTTTCCTATTAAGCAGTGAGTTCAAGTGATCAAACCTTTTAAGTTCCAAGTAGTTAAGCTCAGGAACAGCAGTAGTTATTTGTACATTACACAAAGTTAAGGAGGAGCAACAGTGGTTAAAACCCAAACATTCAAATAACCAGTGAATGCTTTGACAGGTTACTGTAACTGCTTCCCCAGTTTTTTGTTACAGAACAACACTCAGCTGGTGTGCTTGCATGGTAGAGTAAAATGTCTTATAAATTCAAGTCTAAGTGGATATCCCTTAGTTCCCTTGTAGTTTATGGGTTAGCATGGAAGGTTATGTGGTTTTAGTATTGGTTAATGGGTAATTTCAAAACTGACAAGATAGACAAATCTTCATATTTTTTTTATAAATCTTCTATTAAAATAAAAAAAAATGACAATACAGAGAATGAACTCATAATATATTTAACCACAGCGAATTCAATTTCTGTATAAAAACCCATTAGTGTTTCATTGTCATCCTAATTTCTTCTTTTTAATGTGAGTATTTAAACAAACTGGGCCAAGTACATTATGTCTTATTCATAAGCAGCTTAACCTGTCCAGTAGTAAAAGGAAAATGGTAAACTTTTTGGAAGTACCTATGAATTTAAGGCCAATTCATTCTGTTCCATCCTTTTAAGAATGATTAAATTCTAGGTATTTCAGCCTTTAAGTGATACATAGTAGATGTTGATTTAACATCTGTTTAAGTTCCAGTGTGGTTGCTACAATTTCATAGCTTTTTCAGCACAAAAAAAAATAAATGTAAATGCTTGTGCTGATTTTGAAAATATTGAGCTAATTAACGTTGTTGGGTTCTGTACAGATGGCAACCTTAATATGAACAACATTTATGATAAGCCTACAGAAACGGTGCCTAGAGCAACTGGATCATTAAAAAAAGGATTTGTTAAGCATTATTCAGTCTTGGTGCTGAATTAATAAATAAAGGATTAAGGAGTAGTTATGTGAGACTTTAAGTACAGAGCGATAAAACAAACTCCCGCATTTCTATGGTGTATATTTTATCCTAACTAGATGCAATTTACTTAAATAAGGCAATTTAATCAGTATTTAGTAAATTTGTCATTCGATATTGTAGAATCTTTCATCATATTTCGCTTTAATCAAGAAAGGTAACACCTGTGGTTTATTCACAAAAGCTTCTTTTGTTCACTGAACACCCGCAGGCCATGAAGCAATTACATTTGTTGCTTGTACCAAAGGAGGAGGCACTTAAATAGACCTTAGTAGGGATAGATGAGAACTTGCAGACTTTATTCTTTTGTCCAGCACTGAGATTAGTTCTTATCGTAGCTCAAGAAGGAAGCCTCTGAACTGAAAAGAAAAGATGGCAATGATTTAAAGTTCTTCTTAAGTTTGAAACTTTGATATTGCTGGAGGTGATGTGAATACCTGTGACCTTAGGAAAGTTCAGCCTTCATCTGCTCCCAGCTGACTGTACGTGCTGATGTGCCTTGAGATTGCAAGAGATTCCTGTTTGTACGTCCCCAAAAATCACAAACCAAAACTGCACCAAAACAAAAAAACCAAACCACAGAAGCCCATCTTCGTTGAGTTGGGTTTGGGGGTGTTTTTGAGGCAGGTAATTTAATCTGTTAATTTTGTTTGCAGTATATTGGTTTTCTAGTATGCCAGTTAATGCAGCGCAGGGTTCTCGTCTTTTGGGTTTGAAGACAGTGAGAGTAATCAAAGAAAAAAGTTTGGTGTCATGTAAAGCTACCAGAAGAGTATAATTATTTGGTGATTCCCCTTCCCCATTTCATTAATGTTTTATGCTTTAAGTGTGCATCAAATACCTGCCCTGTACTTCAGTCTTGCCACTTTAACTGAGTAAATTCCAACAGCTCTGCAAATTTAACCAGTTTGTCGCAGGGAAAGATGTTATTTTATCTGAGGTGAAAGACATTTATTTATGTGAAGCTGCTGCTTCAAGCTCAGTTGTTCTCAGGGACAGTCTTGCTCTCCTGGTCTGTCTGCTCCTGTGCTGGAGCCTGGGAAGGGAGAAGGGGAGAGTCGTGTCTGATGGTGTCTTTTATTCCCACACGTATAAGCTGCCCCGCAGACAACCGGTTCTGCCTGAGAACTGCTGCTCCTTGGAAATAAATCCTCGGATAATCTGCACAAAACCAGAGGCACAGGGGTTGCTCAGGCAAAGGGAGGAGTCTGCAGACAATCAGAGGTAGCTTTTTGCATGAACCTGCCCTGCTGAGGACTTGCTGGTTCTGCATGTGACCCACTGCTCTTGTGAGAATTCAGTTGTTGGGCTTGTGAGACCTTCACATCTTAGTTCTGGCCTGTGTGTGGGGGAGAGCAGAAACATTGCCCAGCCCAAGTTAATGCTTCTCCCATTTGTCACTGTGTTTTTGTATCCACAGTCCCTCTGTGTGCAGTAGTGGCAGCTGTGCTTTCAGTTGTACTCCTTGGATACAAATAATTTTGTCCATGTCCTGTAGATACCAAAATGCAAGGCTGTGAATTGTCACACAAGTGGCTTTCCCTTTGCCTTGGGTTTTTGGCAGCAGCAGCCTATTGGTGTGCAATTTATATACTCTTACTAAAAATACAGGTTTTCAGCAGTTCATTTTTTTCTTTGGTTAATGTATCTTATTCCAGCTAGGTTTGCACAGCTTTGCAGTGTTTTAGATTGGGTCCTGATTCTGCAAAGGTTGATACTCCAACTGAACTTTATTCCATGTGAGTAATTCCACTGAGTTCAGTGATATGGTGTAGAATGGCTTGGGGCATAAAGCCTTAAAGGATTCTGGCTTTAGTCTTTATTTCAGAGGGGTTTAAACAACTTTTGTTTGATTTTTTTTTTTTTAATTGTTATGGTTTGTCACTGGTATTTGGTTTTACATTTTCCAGTAATTCTTGTGATTTTTATTGCTTGTCTTAATTCCAGGTTGTAGTGAAGTGCCTAGATGGTGGACAGACACCACACAAAGGTATTACAGTGCATTATCTCTGGATGGATCATACATTGTGACAGTGCCCTGAACGACAAATTTGGAGGTATAGGGGCCTGTCATACCTTCCACGGAGAAAAAGTTACCTTAAGTGGTGAATTTCAGGATGTAGGAAGATACTTTACTGCAAATGTTCTACCTGGAATGCAAACTGTGAACATCTTGTGTAGACAAGTAATTATTCCTAGTGTTGGAAGTAATGTTCTGCCATTGCTGGCAAAAGCAATTTAATGTATTTTTCATACTTCTGCAGCGTGGCAGAAAAACGGGAAGTGTTCTAGGAAGTGTTTGGATATACCTGAGTTATGAGTGGGTCTTCATTTTAAGTAATAAAAGATGAGCTTCACATTCTGCCTGTGAATTTGGGGAAGTGAGAAAGCAGAGGAACCAGTACAGCTGGGAGTGGAACAGAAGTGATGCTTTTTCAGTAACATGAAATGTTAACCTTGGTTTGCCTTTTATATTTAACAAAAAAGCCTCTCCCTTTCATAGTAATTCCTGCTTCTCCTGTGTGTATGTCTGCTGGGATAGTCTTTCCCAGTGCCAGTAGTTTGATGGATGGCTTGGAATTCCAGTAGATGCTGGACCAGGAGAGTTTGCACCAGAGGGGTCAGGACACTGCTCTGTGTTGTGATATACACCTGAAAAACACACTCATGTAAGGTGTGGACACAGGGTGGGTACACTGCAAATAAGTGAAGATGGATATCCAGCTAATCTGCTGGACATCCTAGGTAGGCTGTGTACCATGGAATTTTGGAGGAAGATGGGAGTCAGTACATTCTCAAACAGAGACCTACCAAAAATATATGTCCATGTGTGATGAGATGTATATTCCACACAGTTCCTTTGACTCTGGATAGAGTCTTTTTAAATTTTATTTATTTTGAATTGACTTCTGGTTGGGTTTTTTTGTTTGCAAATCTGCTTGGGTGGGAGGAGGGCCAAATTCCTGAAGGTGAAACCAGCTGGTCTTCCCAGAGGAAAGCCTTCCATGCATGTGCCAGCAATCTGATAAGCCTACAAAATAACAAAGGTGACAGACAAGCTGAATCTGGAATTCCTGTATGGAAGGAGTGGCAGAACAAGAAGTAAAGGAGCTTGATTGAACTAGTGGATCAGTTTAAAACAAAGGAGGTGGCCTTCTTTTATACAGGACACTCTGGAAGGAGACCAGCAGGTTTCAAAAGGGTTTAGACATATTGCTGCTCTACAGCTCCACTGTAATTCTAAAATGAGGAGGTTTGTGCCCTCTGACAGGCCTGAAGCACCTTTCCTGGCTCCCAGAGAAATACAGGGAGGAGACAGACAGGCTCACATGTGTTTTCCATGGCCAGTATCCCATTTTGCCACTATCAGAGACAAACCACTGGTTCTCAATCCGTAGCTTATACATTTGCCACGGCTCAGCAGAGGGGCTCTGGGAATAGTGTTCCATCCTTGGATCCTGGGCTGGGAACACCACGTGGGAGCATGGCTAAGCAGGAGCCTAAAGGGCTCATTAAAGACAAGGTTCCCAAGAAGTGTTCCCTGGCCAGACACCTCTGAGTACAAATCACACTCCAACTACATTTTCCTCAAATGGAGGGCCTGGGTTTTTACAACCAGACTTTACACCAAGAGTGGCATTTCATTTTGTTTAGTCTCTTATCCATGAATTCTCTTTATGTAGAATATTGTATTTATGAGTCTCTGTGGCTTAATTCCAAAACATTCATGTTTACACTGCTCAAACTCTGAGTTTCACTTGAAATTATTTATTTATTTAGCTAGTTTCCATATTTTTTTCTCTGAATTGTGGTATTAATAATGTTTCAAGTACATACATGGTTTTGGAAAAATGTATGTTAATTTAAAGTCCATATTAAATATTATCTAGATTATGTTGCTTCTTTTAAATTATCAGCCTGGTTTAGAATTTTAGAAACAAAACCCAATTAGAATTATTAAGGATTTTATTTGGTAATTTATAAGAGGTTATTTGCATCTGAAATGTTTTCAAGAAAACCTGACAAAATAGTGTTTTCCCTTCCAAGCAGAAATCTTAGTTTAAGACTTATAGGAGCAACTTTTTCATATCTGAAAGCTTTGTACTCTCATTTAGGTAACTAATACAGCTCTGTTGCTATTTCTCATTTTGTCATTGAGTCAGCCAGTGAATGCCATGAATCTATGGTATGTAATATAGTTAATGCATAATATATATGGGCAATGAAAGGTCTTTGTCATATAGTATAAGGTCACCATCATTAATTTTCAAATTATAAAAAGGGATTTGCTGTTTTGTGATCATCATTACTGCAATATAATGTGTTGTGGATTCTGCCTGCACATAGAATGAACTGTGATCTTAATTAGAACTTTGACAAGCCTACTCCGATAAAATGATGAGATTATTCGTAATTGATGTCACAATCAATTACCAGTTAGTTCATCATGAATCTACTAACAGGTCTAGCCTTGGTGCTGGCCCCAGGATGTTGATGAGTGTGTGGCTGCCCTGTTCATGCTGTTACTGCGACAGGAGGGCAGATTTTCAGTCAACATCCTAATGACCTCTTTTGAAGTCTATTAAATTAATGACCCTGTCACATTGGTCTAACCTCTTACATCTTCATTTTGGATTTTTTGTTGCAAACCATTGGTTTTTGAGCACATGATAGAACAGATACTTTGGAGCACTCCTTCTCATCCCTCCAAATCTGGCAGTGTGTCTTACTGGATTCGCTAAAAAATCAGTTCATTACACAGTCATGAAATACAGAGCTCAGAAATCAGAAGATACGGTGGTGTGAGGCAAACTGTGCTTAATGCCATTCTGTTCTCTTTTCTTATTACATTTCAATCTTGCTCAACCATAGGTGCCTAAAGGACATGTTTGGTTAGAAGGTGATAATCTCAGGAATTCTACAGATTCCAGGTGCTACGGACCCGTTCCTTACGGACTGATAAGAGGACGCATTTGTCTTAAGGTATATATATATATTTATAGTATCTAAAAATAGGTGCATGAGTACATTTTTAATGGCTGGGTGTCAGGTATTGACAGTTGCTTCCTTAACTGCCTGGCCAAAGCAGATGTGGAGGAAAGCATGGACACACCAGCCACTTGCTGTGAAAGGATAACTCAACAACGGGGTTTTTTGGAGGGAGGACTTGTGAGCAGCACCCTGAGCACTCGCTGCTCTGAAAGCTGAATGAATTATTTCACAAGCAAATCCAAACCTGATGAAAACACAAATACCCTGCTGCACAGATGTACATCCCATCCTTAGTTTGATTCTTGCCTCTGCAAAATGGTAGAGAAGGGCATCTCTGTATCTGTATTTGCATCTCACTGTTTGTGTAGCTCTCTAGTCCAAAAAACAAAAAATGTCCTCTTTCTGGGACTTGCACACCTACTTTAGACATGTAGACTGGCCTTGCTGCTTTTTAAACTAAAAAAAGTGAAAAAGCTTTAACAGTGATGAATATTGCACTGTATAAACCACCATGGTTCCTTCTCCTGTTTTAACAATTCTGCAGTTTTATGTCACACTAAATTACTTTTTCATATTATCTGCATTATTAATTTACTCTTTTACCGAAAAGAAGAAAGTAATACAACTTCCTCTCAATGAAAAGTTTAATCTAAGAAAGAAGGGAGCGTGTATTACAGACTTATGCACCTGCTTTTAGAAAGCTGGATTTAAAATTGTTCAATCAGACCAATAAAAAAGGTTTTCTCAACACATCCACAAAACCATCATTTAACACACGCACAGGGAAGATTGGATCCTTCCAATTTAACAGTCTTATATTCTTAATTTACAGTATTTATGAACACAGTTTGGGACTTACTTAACCTAAAAAAAAGCAAAACTAACCTTGCAGCTATTGACCACAATCAGTAATTGCTTAGTAAACCTCAAACATGTCCCCCTCAGCCCTGCTGCCAAGTTTTGTCTGACCTCTGTTCTTCCTGGCCAGCATTTGCTCGAGTTCTTCCCTGGTGTTTACTGAGGGCTCTCTGTCCCTTCCCTGCACTGTTTGCCTTCCTGTGTACACCAGAGGGAAAAATGCTGATTCCAAATGGGGCTATTTTTATGACCCCAAGTTTTAGCTGGGATTATTAACTGCTAAGATACAAATGCAAAAAAAAAAAGCAGATATGCTGATGCTCCTCTTAATGTGAATGTGGTATTAATAATCTGACTGAAAAAAGATTTCTCCAAACTGGTGTACAGGTATAGAAAAACTGCTGTTTGCTACTGTGAGGGGACTGTTGGCAAATATTGTATATGCCAAGAACCTGTCTATGGGGACAGCCACAATTAGTCACAGTTTCTCTCCACACCAGTAGATCTGTGTCCAGCTTGTACCCTGACAAGGAAGGTGTTCGAGAGACTTTGTTGAAGTGACTGTCAGGACTGAACCCTAAGTAAACTCTAAAATGAGTGGAACTTAGACACAGATAATGCATATTGAAGTACTGCTTTAGGACTCCAGAACGTTGTCTGTTAAAAGAGATAGTCAGCAATCACTTGATACTTAATCAAAATAATGATTTAACCAGGTTTAATTGCTGTTGTTCTATGATGGTGCATAGAGTAGTGGTTATTTATCTTTTCATGAGATTTAAGTACATGGTGCTTAACAAAAGCAGAAATGAGTTTAATCTTCAAGTGAGTGTTTATAGTGTGGGTTGTTTATGGTAATTCCCATCAGAGTACAGTGATCTGTGTGTTGCTATTGAACATTACAGTGAAAGGCAGCAGAATTCAGTCTGCATGGTGGGGGATGGCAAATCAGGAGACCACTGGCCAAGAAACCTGTGTGTGCTTTCAGTGGAGACTCTGGAGGTTTGGCTTCTCCTTCATGAAACACTTCTTTACTGCCTTCAGAATGGAAGCTTTTGTGGCTTTATCATGGAGTGGATTCTGGAGAAGCAGATGCCTCTCAACACTAAGTTACATTTCTAGGAACGGATGCAAACAAACCCAAGGCTAATTTGGAAGTAATTTCAAGGATTTCAGCAGAAGAGAGTGAGCTTAGCCATCCTAAGTTTGTCTGGGCAGCCTGTCCTTGGTAGAACACAAATGTTTATCTGTGAAGTTTAGACAGAAGGTTCTCAGTCACTGTTGGTGCCCCAGATTTAACCCACAGGGAAATAATTATCTTTGCTCCTTTCCTTCCATGCCACCATGTCCAGTGCCACTCCAAGAGGCAAGTTCATTCCATAAAGGGACCACTGAAATCAAAGCAGCTGCAAATTCAGTAAAATCCCTGGGAGTCCCCCTTTGACAGAGCTCATGCTTCATCCTGTCCTAGGTAGGATATCCTGTGCATTCCCTGGATTTAGGCTCCATGTCAAAACTAGACCTGTAGTGTATCTTCAAAAGAGCTAGTTAGCCCCATTTATGCCCCGTCCATCAGATCAAATCTATCTGTGTAGGCCAAACCAAAGAGGGCAAGTAGCTGCTAATTGGAATAGCCAGTCTGAATGAACAAGTCACAGTCAACTTCTGTCATAACTTTAAAGGACTTGGGAATTACGACACAGTGGCATGTCTTTGTTTCACAGAGGAAGGATTTCCATCCCATTTCCAACCATGAGTATTTTTTTCTCAAGCTTTCCCTGCAGGCAGAGTACATAAAACACCATTTTCATTCTAACTCTACCACTAAGATTACTGCCATGAGTTTGAAGCTGAATTGTCAAAGCAGCATTTAAAGCAAATTTGATTACTTACACTAAAAGAAAATCAAGTTGCAATAGGTGTGATTTGAGTTGCCTGAAAGGAGATTTGTGCTGTAGTGAATGGCCCAACAAACTTCCTTCTCCAGGCCTTTACTCAGATCAGCTTAGATTTGTAATATGGGATATTTCTATTTCCTTTTACTTCTGTTTGCCTTCGAGGCCAAACAAAGACTTGACACCCAGCCTGCAGCCAGCACAGGCCCTCTGGACAGCCTTGGATTCCATGGCTTTGCTTCTAACCAAGATCACAAATATCCTTCTGCTGCTGGTTTGTATCTCTGTAGATTTGTGTGGACCTTAAAATAGCTCCCTGGCTGATCTGCACAGAGAGAAGGTGTTACCTCTGTGCTTTTGTGTATCAGCAGATGTTCCTCGTGCTCTTCCCTCCCTGCACATGCCAAACCCACGGGTGTTCCCTAAGGTACTTGCACAGGGGAGCTTTGAGCCTTTTGCTGATCCACAGAACTTGAGGTCCTGAGTGTGACTCACATCCTTCTGCCTTCCCCAGGGCCCAGGCCCAGTCCAGCTCAGCACAGTGCTGCAAGGGGCCTGTCAGAGGCAAGCCCAGGCAGCTTCCAGCAGTGCCCAGGCAGCAGGAATGATGCTGTGTCCTGCCATTCCCATCCTTAACTCTCTCTCTGCCCCTTCTGTCATGGTCTTCAGTGCTGGGGATGAATCATAGGGTTAGAAATAATTGAACCTTGGCACTGTGCTTCCTCTTTGAAAGGAGAAAATTCCTTCTTCACTCCACACAGAAAGCAGCAAAGAGTCCTTCTGTGCTGGGGCTGTTCCATTAACTCAGTCACAGAGTAGGTGGCTGTTCCTGGACAGGGACTGTGTACCTTCCTCAAGATCAAATTCTAAGAAAAAATGAGCAAGATAAACATAAGACTGACAGATGCTGTGGGAACAAGGTAGTGCATCATCCTTCTCTGTCTAGGCCCCTTCACCTTGGGCAGGGGCTGTGAACTTTTTATGGGATTAGAGCCACAGAGGGCATTCATTCTTCAGCAGCATCTTTCCCTTCTTCCTGCTGATCCCCTCGTGCCACCTTTGAAAGGGGGTGTGAAGAGACACAGGAAGTCAAGGGAGACAAAGGACAAAGTGTAAAAGAATGTCCTTGGTTCCCTGTTACTTTTTTTTGCATCCAAGACCATCCTACATGTAATTAGTGAATGTCCAGAGCCAGGTACTCCTGGGAGCTCTCATTATTATGAACAACTCTATGGTTTTTTTGTAGAGAAGTTGTTTTGTTGTTGGTCAGCATCATTCTCTGACACTTGTGCTTGGCCATGAGTTGTGCTCTTTGGTAAATAACTGTCCCCTTCTCAGAGGAGGCCCTTGCTCAAGAGCCCTGATGGTGGCAGGGCCTCCACCCCTTTATACCTCTTTGCATGGTATAAACTTGCCTATAGATATTTTTTCCCCAATATTTGGTGTTTGCAGTTCAAAGGCTCATCTTGAAAATACAAATGTCCACCTCACAACCGGGAGGACCCTGTGCATGGTGTTCTTTTGTCACCCATATGGATCAAAGAATATATACCTTGTCTTTTAAGTCATGAAGAAGTTTACAATCTGGAAAACTTTGAATTTGAAAGATATTTTTTAGGAATATATTTATTTCCAACGAAATTTGTGAGGCTCTCCATAGCAAAGCGTGCCCTGTATAAATGAGTGTTGTGTCTGGCCACTCTGGAATGATTCCATGTGAAATACAGTGTTTATTACTCCCCATAAGAGAAACATACGGGTGAGGAAAGTTCTTTACCCTCTCAACCAAAGAGATGCTGTTAATGAAACAATAACAACAATAACAAATGAAAACACTGAACTTTGGAGCTGTGATTAAAATCTCTTGTATTTTATTTTACAGCTTTGGCCTCTGAATGACTTTGGATTTCTCCGTGCAAGCCCCAACGGCCACAGATTTCTTGACGATTAAAAGATTTAAGTTACTCTGGCCGGTTTTCGTAATATTTTCTACTAAAACTGATGGAACTATTTTTGTTTAGAATAAACACAGAGATTACTTGACAGAGATGTCTCTTTCTGAGATTACATCTTAACTTGAAAGTGGGAGTGATACAGTGCTGTCAGTCACCAAAAATGACAGGCTTCTTGCTTTCTCTGGTGAGTCACAGTCAGTGCTTGGGTTTATTAGAAAGCTTTGGGTTTTTACTACAAGCCAAGGTTAGCACTGACTGTTACCAAGGGATGAAAAAGGCACAGTGTTGTCACCCAGCCAGAGCCCCACACAGACTCTCCCTACATCAGCATGCCAGGATTGGAACTGAACACCAGGGGATTCTGGATCTGCTGGTCACTCACAGGTGGTTTGTAGGGTTTTCCCTGCCCAGTGGATTGTATGTCCAGTAGGGGCAGAGCACAACTTCCTGTTTCCATTTGCTCCAAAGTGTGCTCTGCTCCAAGCTGACAAGGTGATGTGGATGCAGAGCCCCTGGACCTGCTCCTCAGCACTGGGACAACCAGCCTGTTCCATGTGTGAGCCTCTGCCCCTCTTTCCTGGGCTCAAGTCCTTGAGGGGATTTAATGAGGTTAAATATTTAGCTTATAAATAGAACATGTTCCTGTTTCCCATTCCTGCACCTTGCTCTTCATTATCTTCAAAGCATTCTCACATTTATGCCTCCTGATTGAGTTTTGTCATCTGAGCTGCCGAAAGGATTTAACCTCAGAGGAAGGGCCCAAGGGACAGCTGACAGAGGCTGAAATGGAAAGATCTACTTTGTTGTTTGCTGGAAAAGAAACATTGTTTAGATCATAAGATACATTCCAGTGGTAAACAACTCGGTGTTCTGCTTTGGAGGTGTTTAGTAACCAGCTCTTTGGCTTCAGAAGGAAAAAACAGCCAACCCTCATGTCTGCAGGTCTGTGTCAGCAAAGGGGCACCTGACAGTTTTAAGCCTTGTTCTTGTAGTGCCCCTCTTTTCTTTAACAGAGATTTCCTCAGCAGATGCTGCCACTTGTTTGTCCAGGCTTTTGAAAAGTTTGTAACAGTTAATGAGCTTCATTTAAACAATCACTGAAGGATCTCGATAACAAGTGAACACGTGTCACAACAAACCAGAGACACATCTTTGGTTTCGCTCTTGAAGACACTGTAATTCCCACCACATCGACAGGAGAGAGTGTAGAGTTGTTCATCTGCCAGAAAAGGAAACAAAAAAGCCTTTAGTGCTTGAGAATAATCAAGGATTTATTTTGGATTTTGTTCACGAAGCTGCTCTTAGTTACAAATAAACTCCTGCTGCTGGATTGTAAATACCAGTACCTGTGCTACCATCTGTAGCTCAAAAAATTACTCTACCCTTAAAATGTTACACCAAACAACCAGGGTCAGTGCAGTCTCCTTAAAAGAACCCTCAGTGATAACAAGGTGCACATCAGAGAGTCAGATATTAGAAATAAAAACTAAGGGGTGTCATACCTATGACAGACCAAGGATGCTTCCAAAACAGATTGCTAACCCAGAGAACAACACAGAACAGAGGAAAGTAGAGCAGATTTTTCTCCTCACAGCTTAAAAGTAAAAAAAAAAAAAAAACAAAACAAAAAAACCCAACCAAAAAAAAAAACCAAAATAAAAAAACCCAACCAACGAACCAACCAAAAAGTAAAAGACAAAAAAATCAGCCCTTCATTCCAAAAGCAAGAAAATGAGAAAAGCCAGAGTAATAAAAAGGAGGGAAATAACATGCTGTCAGATAAAAAAGAACCTGTATGGAAACACCTGCATTCTACCATCACAGAAAGAGCAAGAAGATGCACAAGGGGCTTGGGAAGAATCTAATGACTCAATTATACTACAAGGGGTGAAAAGTGGTACTGCAGGTGAGGATGGGGGGAAGAGATGGAGCAGGAATGTAAAACAAGTGTCACAGGAAGTTAAGTTCCAATTCAGGTCATCTCAGAGAGCAAACCAGCTTTATCTGAGGAAATCCAGAGAAAGCAGAACTTACAGTAAGACAACAAGGGTGTAAGGTACAGAAAAACCAGAAAACATTTGCAGTGACAGTGAAAGGCACTGGAAGGAGAGTAAGGCACATTCATACCTTCATTCCAGGACATGTCCTCAAGGTAAACTTGTTCATGAAGTGGCCATTCTTTTGTCAGGTTATCTGCTATAAAGCAAACATGACAGTGTTCAATCCTGCCAACATACAGGTCCTTATTTCTTCCTCATAAATTAAGAGTTTTATATACCTGAGAGTCAATCTGGTTCCTGCTGGAGAGTCACACCCAGACACAGTATGAGTTAAAAATGCAGTTCTCTAAACTTTTAGTTTCCATGTATCTGCACAGGCTGGAAAATGTCCTCTTGTAACCAGGAGAAGTAAATGGTGGTGATATATCACTGAATTAGGACACTGAAACCAGTACTTTTGCACTTCCCAACACTGTGAAATTAGGGGCAAACTTCTGTTGGGATGTCAATGCCCTTCAAAAGCCTGGCCTGTAACTCCAGTTCCATGAGCTGAAATGTCTCCTTACCTGCAGTTTTTACTAATTCATGGAATGGCTGAGGCCAGAAGGGACCTCTCAGGATCACCCACTCCAACCCTCCTGCACAGGCAGGGGCAGCTGGAACAGGTTTCCTGGGATGGACCACATCCAGTCACATTTTAAACATCTCCACAGATGGAGACCTCACAGCCTCCTTAGGCAACTCATTCTTTTCTTTAGGAAGGAGAAGCCACATAAAAACCTCCAATAAGCACCAAGTGAATGTTGTGGATGAGAACACCACTGAGATTCCTGCAAAAAGATACTCCTTACAAAAGATAAATGAAAAACACTTGTAGGGGAAGACTAGTCCAAGTGTTCTTTTCTAATAAAAGTCTCTCAGCACAGAGAGAAGGTCAGTTCTGGGCTGCACCTGTGAGATCTGCTGCCACTTGATCCCCTAGATCCTTCCAACATTGAAATGGGAAGTGTACAATGCAACTCACAGCATGAAATTCAAAGTGTGCAATACAAATTGGGTTTTTTTTCCATTTATCAGCACACTCATATGTCACCTACAAAGTTCACAGCAAGTTCTTTAGCTTGATAATGTGAGATCTTGTCAACAGAGTTACAAGTGAAGCCATAAAAGGTAAAATTTAAAAAGTAAAAGACATAAACCCCTTACACAGACCCTCCCAGCTGCTGCCTGACACCTGAAAGCTCCAGCTCCCCCAATGCTGTAGTTTAAAGAGCTGATCTTCAGCACATCCACAGAAATGCCTCAGGTCTGGCAGGACTCAGGAGCTTGGTGCTTATCTGAGGTTTAAATGAGGTTGTTATTGAGGAGGAAGGTGTTCCCTCTCCTGGACCAGTGAGTTTTTAAGCCCATTTAATGTCATGGAGCGTTCGAGAGCATCCAGGGTTTTCTATGGCTTTCTAGGAAAAGTTGGCAGGGAAAGAATTTATTCCAGAACTACTTACTGAGCACTTGCTGAAAAAGTCAGAGGCCCAGGTTATGTTATTTTAATTCCCAAGAGATTTTCCAACCTCAGCATTACACTGCAGAGGATTCTAAATGCTTCCCAGCTGCTTCTGTGTAACTTTGCTCTGGGCAGAAAGGTAGAACTAAAGGACTTTGCAGCCCCCTCCTCCAATAACAGCCCCCAAAACTGCCCATCTCCAACTTTTGTCTGATCAGGAAATGGAGTGTTTCCTTCTTCATCACCAAAAACCAACTGACTGTTCTATTTTCAACTGAGATGTACATTACATGTCCTTGAGAACGAGCCTCATCTAAATTAGTTTTGATGAAGGTGATTAAAACAAATGAGACACTTTGGAAATAATGGCAGAATTAGTACAGCCTCTTTGATTTACCTTTGCTGAACACCTGTAAGGAAAAAGTCACAGTGAAAAGAAAATTAACCCACTCAGACCCAATACTTTACTGCTGTCAAAAGAAAGGGGGGAAAAGCAGGGGTGTAATGATGAAAGAAAACGGGAAGATCCAGCAGTTATGTGGAGCAACAACATTTTCCTCACACCTGATCAGAATATTAGTTAACTGCATGAGATGTTGAAAGTACAATAAAAGGTCAGATGGTCTTATCTCATGCTAAATATTTCTGGGAGTTTGCCTGGTATGAGCTACAGAACAGGAAGACTGGAATGGTGGATATCCTGAAAACACCCACAAAACCAGTCTGAGGCCTTTCCTCCACCAGGCCTTGGAAAAAGCACATTTCTCCTCCTTTTCTTTGAGGAAGAAAACAATAAAAAAGCAGAGATCAAAATGAAGTTTGCCTACCTACCTACCTACCTTTGGCTAGGGTAGGAAACCTCCCAGGGTTTCCTATCTGGAATTCATGAAAGATTTCACTCAGAACAACTTTTATGGGGTTGGTGGTGGAGGTCTGGGTCATGCCTTGCTGGGAGAAAATACAGAAAGGGCAGATGGTCCCTGTGCCAGCATGAAGAGAACTGGTTGCAATGCAAAGTCATGAGGACAACATACTTCAGGTAAAGTAACTTGTGAATCACAGAACCACAGAATCATTTCTGTTGGAAAAGACCTTTAGGATCATCGAGTCCAACCCTTTAAGCAATGAAGAAGGTGGCTGAGGAAAAGTTTGCTCTCTCTTCTATTCCAAACATGATACAATATGAAGCCCAGGGAACAGAAAATCAACAAAGCTTTTCTAATTCATCACTGCCATTGTAGTTTTGAAAATAAAAAACCCCTAACCAACAGGCAAAATTAATCCTTCTCGCAATTCCCAGCCTGAACAGAGATTGTTATTCCTCATCCAATGGTCAGGTCCTGGGGGGCATCAGGCACAGCATCACCAGCCAGTCAAAGGGGGTGACTGTCCTGCTCTGCTCTGCACTGGGGTGGCCTCACCTGGGATCCTGTGTTTAGTTTTGGGCACCAAAACATAAGAAAGACACAGAGCTATTAGAGAGTGTCCACAGCAGGGCAACAAATATGGTGAAGAGTCTGGAGGAGATGCCATGTGAGGAGTGGCTGAGGGCACTTGGTGTGTTCAGCCTGGAGGAGACTGAGGGGAGA